ATTTACATACAGAAAAAGAATTTAATTCTCAGTGAAAAGGTAAATAAAGCCCCTGGAAAAAAGTGAACACTTTCTCTCGCCTTATTTATCCTATTATCTTTTGGCAAATAACGCTAACATAATACAGACAAAAGCAACTCTGTTATCATCTTAACCAATATTCTAACACAGTCTCCCTTTGATGAATATACAAAACTTCCATAAAGGTTAATGGGAGATAGGTGCACAAACTGAGGGTAGAATATAGCCTGGCATATCTGAAAATAGTTCCTTTTGGCTGATCTCTTGGCAGTTTCCACACTCTCTCTTAAAACCATTAGAACTAGTGCAGGTTTTGGTGCATTACAGGATCCCTTAAGAAGCTCCCATTATCTCCTCTCTTCTTAACCACATAATAGGAAAAAATGAGAGTACCGTACACAGACCACACAGAGGAAGGAGAACTTGCCTTGGAATTTTTCAACTGGTAAACCTATTTTCTATAATGCTTAGTAGTGAATCACTCTTAAGTGCTGGACCATTCACTAGTGTATGTGTTTTGTGCCAAAGGTTACCAGACTGCAAAAGTGTTCTCATCTCAGAAAGGACCCATCATTCACCATCACCTTATTTTGACACAACAGAAGAAAAATACATTCCACCTAGCAGAAACAGGAAAGGGGGAAAAAGGACAGAGAGAAACCTAGATGAGCAATGCAGCAAATTTTCTAAATGAAAAGCACAGACTATTAAATGATACTAGAAAAATTACATCTTTACATTATGGGATGAGATCTTCCTGATTATTTCAGTTCTAGCAAGTCTGTAAGATGGACTTTTAACTTTCCCGAAATATGAGAAAAAAAATTTAAAAAAAAGTGTAGCGTTATTGGAGAAAGGTAAGCCAGCAGCCTTTTCCCGGTCTCGGACTGCTAGAGAGGACAGTGCAGCAGGGCAGTTACTTGAGGAGGGAACTACCTTCTCCAGCACAGATCTCTGGCCCATGCTCCAGAGCAAGTCACTGTTCTCCAGCAGTACAATGAGATGACAAAGCAAGGTGAGGAGAGCCAGTTGCCCTTTCTGTCTGCCCTTCTTCTGATTCAGGCAGCACACAAGTCTAATGTTTTCCAAAAGACAAAAGTAGAGGCTCTTCTGAATTGAATTATATCTTCTTGTTTAGTCTGGATCCCATCTGCAGCAGAGACTTGATTTATATTTATCATTCTTTTACATGTCTCAAAATTACTGCTCAGTAATACACAAATTCTGTTTTGTGGGCACAATCACTGCTAAAGCTGGTGTTCACATCTTAACCAAGCTGTGTTCATGTTAGACCCAATGCATAGGATGGGTGCATGAAATTCCCTACAAGCTGTTTTCCTGGTCCTAGATACAGAAAGGGTCCACCTCACTGTATAACCTCCACATTCTTAGAGATGATTATAAAAATGGGGTTGACTATACCAAAAAATACTGTCACCAAGAAGCTGAGGCTAGATGAAAACACTTGTAAACATCTACAACCAGTATGCTTTCTGAAATCTGTCCTCCCACCATATACCTCATGAGCCTTCCAGCTGATGAAAAATGTATCATTTAAACTACTATTACCTGTGAGATCAATCACAAAATCACAAATGTATTTGTATAGAGTTAGCATTCTGTCAGTGTTTGTGTCACTGCTAAACTGACCCAGATAAAGCTACTTGAAAACTATAGCTATCATTGACAAAGAAAAAGGGGGATGTCAGTGCTGAAAAAAATTAGCTATTGTAGTTACTGTGTTCTAAAATGAAAGACTAATGTAAAAAATAATAATATGACCTTAGGCAAATACATGCAGGTTCAGGACCAAGAAATAACACATCAGCGTTGAAGATGAATTACCAAAAATCAACTGGCTAAATTCACTACAAATGTGAAATATCTGGCTCCTACATTCATAATTTTAAACGTAAACTTGAAAAATATTACTGGAAAGCTTCAAATATGAAATTAATATTTTATCGCCAAACAAGAAGCTTATGTGAAATACAGAAATAAAACACATATTCCTGTTCTCAGGTGCACACATTATTGTAAGTGATATTAAAAAATCCTGGCAAATAAATTCAAATAAGACAGCTATTTGTGGAAGTTCATTACTATCATCTTCATATCTCCATCTCTGAAGAAAAATTCAACCCCTACTCTTGCACATCATACAATTTTCTTTGACAGTTTCACTTACAGCTTTTCTGAACGGTAACACCCACACTCTTATGAAATGCATGAGGGTTATTCAATGATCAGAAGCCATCTAGACAACAGACAGTTTTTCTAATTTTTCTTAAGGTAAGTAGGAACCCTGACTCACATGCAAGACTACAGAGGAGTAAATAATCAACACTGATTCTTTCAGCAATTTAAGTTCTCCTGGGAGCTATCCTGGCAAAGTACCAACCAACCTGTTCAGTTTATTATACATAACAGAATTGCAGCCTGACAGAGCTTGACTGCAAATGCAATCTTTTTCCAGTGCTTGTCAGCAGGAGTTCAGAGGATATACTCACCAGACATAAATGTTTGTAGATCCAATGATTTTAAATAAATTATTCCAATTTGTAATAGCAGAAAATTTAACCCTTTCTGAAGCTGATAGTTATTGCCTCTAAAAAAGTCATTTCATATAGTGTTGTGAACACATGCACCACTATACAAGTTGTCCGTATTAATTCTGATTTGGTAGCCCAGTTTTGGAAGATCATCAGTCTGCAGAATTAAGCACTTCATTGAGATAGTAGCTCTGCAGTTGGGAAGAAGAAGCAGAAAAACTTGATATATGCTTCCACAGGATACAAGTGGCAATATTTAGAATGGCTGGAGAACAGCAGTCACTTACTACAGGTCAGTACTTGTATCAAAATGAACTGTGTAACTTCATTCCCACATGATGCTCATTGAGGCAGCTTGGGTATGGCACAGCTTTACCCCATTCAGCACACACAATCACAGAATCATTCTGGTTGGAAAAGACCCATGGGATCATCGAGTCCAAGCATCAGCTCTGCTCTAGAAAGTTCTCCCCTACATCATATCCCACAACATCTCATCTAAACCACCTTAAATACATCCAGGGATGGTGACTCCACCACCTCCCTGGGCAGCCTATTCCATGTGGTCTGCTAATGTATAATGATGTCTCATCAACCTGACAACCTAACTCCACTTGCTGACATCCATGCAAAGCCGACTTAGTGTGGGTAATTTCGTCCCAGGCCTGACACCCACAGCAAATAAGGCTTTCATCTAATTTTTTTCCTCAGGTCACTGAAGCGATCACGGCTACCCGCCAGTCTAGCCTATGTCTGCAATCATACAGTGACGGCACCGGGCTGACTCGTTTACTGCTGGCACGGCAGTGCTTAGCGCGGGTCCTCACTCCCCGGGAAGCCAAGCCGCGGGAGAAGGCGAAGCCCCGCACAGGCGGGTCGGGCCGGGGCCTGCTCTCCTCAGGGCCGCCGCTGCCTCGGGGCGAGGCGCCCC